CCTTCTCTGGCTTTAGGATCCAGCTTACTTCTCTCTGTCCGATCATTTAGTATGAAGCATTTGCAGCCAAAAACCTTGAAGAAGGAGATATCAGGAGTTTTGTTGAATAGGATCTCATATGGAGTCTTGTCGAAGCGCTTGTGGATGGATGTTCTGTTCTGAGTGAAGCACGCAGTATTGATAGCTTCTGCCCACATGAAGTGAGGCAGTCTGGATTGGATTGACATAGTGCGTGCTGCTTCAACAAGGGTTCTGTTTTTTCTCTCAACAACTCCGTTCTGTTGGGGAGTTTTAGCTGCTGCAAATTGCTGAGTGATACCGAGTGATTCATAGAACTCAGTGAAAGTCTGATTTTTGAACTCGGTACCGTTGTCAGTTCTAACAATTCGAACACTGTGCTGTAGCAGTTTCTGGATTGTTCTGATAAAGGTCATAACGTTTTCTGCAGCTTCGTCTTTTGAACGGAGAAATTTTGTCCATGTATACCTAGAGAAGTCATCAACGATCACCAGAGTGTATTTGCGACCATTGATGCTTTGTACTCTCATAGGTCCACACAGATCCATGTGAATTAGCTGCAACTGATGTGTAGATGATGGTTCGGTTTTTGACTTGTGGGAGCTTCGCGTCATTTTGCCCATTTTGCAGGCACTACAATGATTTTCAGCGGAAGACTTTAGCAGAGGAAGCCCCTTGACAAGTTTCTTGGAGGACAAGGTAGATAGATGTTTGAAGTTCAGATGGGAGAGACGTCTGTGCCATAGGTTATTCTGTTCAGTTGAAGCTTTGGACAGCAGACAGATGGAAGTGGTGGATTGGACGCTTTTCAGATCAATAGTGTACAGATTTGATGTTCTGTAACACGTTAATAATGTATTCCCTGTGTTGTCAAGAACACCGCATTGTTTTGCAAAGAACCTCACTTCCATCCCGCTGTCACAGAATTGTCCAATGCTCAGTAAGTTGTGTTTGAGCCCTTTGACAAATGAAACATCTTTTATTGTGACACTGGCACAGACGACGTCCCCATACCCAAGGATAGGAGATGAGGCGTCATTCCCGAATCTGACATTGCCTCCGTAGCAGTTGGTGTAGTTGCTCAAAAGGTGCTTTATTCCGGTCATGTGGGTTGAGCATCCTGAGTCTAAGTGCCACACATGACCGTCCTGCAAAACAATCAAACAGGTTTAGGTACCCAACTTGGAGTGGGTCCTTCCTTATTATCAAGAAACACCTTTTTAAATCTTGCTTTGAGCTGTGATCCAAGGTCAGCAGCTCTTTCAACAAAAGGTCTATCTTTTGTGGGTTTTCCAATAGCCAGATCTGCTTTTGCAGTGTGTCTGGTTTTTGGAGTCCACCTAGCAGTTTCCATTTTGGTGGGTCTGATGTTGTGAACCCACCTTTCCATTTTAGTTCTGGTGGGTCTAAAATTGGGGACCCACCTTTCCATTTCAGTTTTGATGGGTCTTCGATTGGGGACCCATCTTTCAGTTTTAGTTTGGATGGGTCTTCGTTTGGGGACCCACCTATCTGTTTCAGTTTTGGTAGGTCTCATCTTGGGGACCCACCTCTCAGTTTCAGTTTTGACGGGTCTTATCTTGGGGACTCACCTTTCCGTTTTAGGTTTAGGAGGAGAGTAGACAAGTGCTTTGTGATTGAAAGGTTGTTTCTTAAGTTTGGTTTTGAAAATCTCCTCCTTAGAAAGCCGATTAAGATGTTTCCTAGAATGAACTCTAAGGGTATATTTCATATCAGGAATACAAAACGTTCCCTTAGAAGTTTCTTTCTTGGTTTCTTTTTCAGGTTTGAGCTTTCTGAGAGGCTTTGATTTAACAACATTCACATCACATTCATAATTATGGGGATCTGGAACAGAATAACCATAAGCAACACTTGTATTATAAATAGAACGTTGTCTAGAAGATGTCTCAGAAATATTCAGCTTGGGACTCAAGACTGAACTACTAGAAGTTTGTTTTGTAGAGACAGAATTACAATTAACTTTAGAGTAAAAAATAGAACTAGATCTAGGACTGGCATTATTCTCAAAAACTTTCTTTTTGCCATCTGCGATTTCCTTCCTCTTTTTCCTCCACTCATTCTTCTCTTCTCCTTCCTTATTCACTTCATTCCCTGTAAACAAAGGAGAAGAGAGATGAGTGGACGAACCTTTTAAAGTATTGGTTTTCTCATGTGAGGTGTGTGAGCTGTCAGGCTTAGTCGTAGAAGGGTCTGTTTTAGCATGAAACTGCTCACTCAAATCATTGAACTTTTGAAGAAGTTCCTGCCAGTTGCGCTCAAAACCTTTCTTTTCAGTTTCAAATCTCTCTCTCTCTCGTTATCAAGAGTTTTCTGTAGGTTTTTGAGCTTTTGAGCCATGGGAAAAATACATGGTTCCTCGCCAGTTTTAGCAATACCTACTCTTGGGGGAGGGTCTAGAGGGTGTCCTATGTGAGGAATATCTTTAGCATAAGGGTCAAGGCATTCACTAAAGCAGGAAGTAGGTTTTTCTTGTGAAAGTTGTTTTTCATTTACAGAGGGATAATCACAAGAAATCGCAGATTTTGGATTCTTTCTCTTTTCTTCTTCTGCTTCAGCATTGTCTTCATCACTTCGAAAATACATTTTCTCGCCAAACCCTAATCCCATGTAATCTTTGTTATAGATTTGAAGACAGTTAACTTTCTTTAGATTACGTGGGTTGGTTATGCCCAGTCATGTTTTAGCATTGTAAAATCGGTCATCCTTTTGTTTGCTGTTAAGCAGAAAAACAGTTTGTTCAGATTGACCTCTTCTAGCAGCTAGATCCTCTAGTTCTTTTACTTTATTTAAAAGCGTTCTTCTCTTGTTTTGCAAAAAATCGCATTCAGCCTTTGCTGTGCTTTTTTCCCGTTCACTATCCTCAAATTTCCTAGTTAATTCAGCTATCTTAAATTCAAAGCTTTCAAAATCTGAGGACACCTTTTTGACCTGATCTTTTGCAATTTCAAGTTGAACACTTAAGGAAGACTTTTGGTCTAGGTTCTGTTTCAGTACCCTGTGATTATTGTCTAGTCTCTCCTTTAGTTCTTTGATTAGATTGTCCTTCTCAAGTAAGGACTGCATTTGATTATTTAAAGGAGTATGTGAGGTACTTACAGAGCTTGTTGAGCACTCGCTTTCGGGGATCGCAGCATCACCCTTTCTTTCATCTTCCTCCACGCGTGCCATAAGGGCATATTTGTCTTCCTCCTCCTCCTCCTCCTCAGAAGAGTCTTCTGCCCAGTTCTCATTCTCAGCAATCATGGCAGAAGTTTCTTCTTCTTTCTGCACCATCAGCATTTTCTGCTTATTCCACAACATCTTCTGCTTGTAGAAGTTAGCATCTTTCTTCTTTGGGAGGCGGCAGTCTTTGATAACATGTCCAGGCTTACCGCAATTGTAGCATTTGGGAGCTTCTTCTGCTGATGATGCCTTCCTAGAAGATCCTTGATCATGGTTCTTCTGCTTGTAGTTTGAAGAGGAAGTTCTCAGCTTGTTGGAGGAGCTGTTCTTCTTAGCAAATCTTTTGGCAAGCTGTGGCATCTTCTTCTGTAAGTCTGCTAGCTCAGCCTCTAGATCAGATTTGTCATCATCACTATCGTCATCATCTGATTCAACCACCACCTTCTTCTTTTTCTTCTTTAGTGAAGTGGTTGTCCTTCTTGGCTGAGCCTCCATTACAAGAGCTAAGGGATTTGTGGTGTGATGATCCTCAGCACAGGCAACCTCGTTGACGAATTGCTTCAGATGTTCATAGAGTGTGCAGAGATCAATTTCGTCCAAATCTATCCGAGATCTGACATCCTTCACTGTTTTTTCCCATGCAGGATGCAGGCTAGATAAAAATCTAATATTCAGTTCCAGATTGGACCTGAATACTTTGATTTTTCTGAGTTCATTTACCAGTTGAACAAGTCTGTTGTAAGTCTCATTCAATGGTTCTCTTGGACCTGCTTTGAAGGAGTCATAAGCGATAAGAATTGTAGTCTTCTTTGTTTTGAGGCTGATGTTTGTGCCTTGTAGCAGCTTTTCTATCTCATCCCACATTTCCTTAGCTGTTTGCATGCTGTCTATGAGAACATAAACTTCATTTGGGATTGCTTGAAGAAGGTATGTTTTGGCCATGAGGTCACCACGAAGTCTGAGCTTGTCAGCTTCTGTGTATTCAGATGGCACTTTCCTCCTTATTTCTGGAAAAATATGAGGATTATTTTCTGGATCTCCACCAACTGAAATCAAGAGTTCAGCTGGTCCTTCAAGCAATGATTCAAGCATTGCAGCGGAGTTCTCTTTGTGCTCGAGGAAATTAAGGAATCTGTTCCTCCACATTTGATATTCTCCCTTCCTGAGGCTAGGAGGGGTACTGCTGTTCCCTTGTGCATTGTATTCTGAAGCCATTGCTATACTAAACTGACCGTTCGAGAAAATTGATCAAAAGATTTTTAGAGACAGAAAGTCGAAAAATCAGATGTCGAGATCTGAATATCGAAATCTCAGATTTCGATAAAGGAGGCCCGGTATCGAGATTTGAGCTCGAGATTAAGGATCTCGAGATTAGGGATCTCGAGATTTCAAATTTCGAGATGCTGATTTCGAGATTTGAAATGTCGAGAAGTTAATACTCGAAATCTTAATTCTAAGAAGTCAAATGTCGAGACCAGATGTCGAATCCTTAACTCGAAATCAAGATCTCGAAATCCTAGATGTCGAAATCCTCAATGTCGAAATCCTGCAACCTGTAAAAATTAGATAAACAAAATCTGAAGGTAGTTTCCTGTTGAGTAGAATGTCGAGATCCTCGGGTAAAGTTTTCAGCTCGAAAAACGTAGCAGAACCTGTGAAGAAGCAAGATGTCGACAACCCCTACTCGAGATATCTCGAAATCTGAATATGCGAAAAACACAATCTGAAGTATACCCCTTGATCGCTTTGAAAAGGCGATTCTAAAGGTGTAACTTTTACAATTTTTGAACAAGAAACAAAATTACAGAGCAAAAATCGACAGTAAGAACAACGTAAACAAAAACATAGTATTCTGCAGGAGTTCTTCTGATCGGTTCTCGATCGGCTCTGATACCAATTGTTAGTCCATGTTTCTGTAACAGCAATGAATAATGATCTAACAACGAAGATTAAACGTAAGGATGAACACAGAATGAATCAACGTAAAACCTTCTTTGATAAACCGTGAACTCGTACAACATAAGAATATGCGCGTAAGGCTATGAAGAATAAGTACGACGTTAACCAATTCCTAAACCTCGGCTCCCTTTTTATAGGCGAGGTTTAGGTTAGGCGTACCAGGCTTTTAGCCTGTTTATATGGGCCTAACACTTGGCCTGATTTCTATCTAATTCATGCACTAATTAAATACAATGATTAAATATAAAGCTAATCTATGACAAACTTGATTCACAATTAAATATCTCCAACATATTTTGAGAGTACGTAAAACTATAGTGGGATTTTTTATGTATACCTTACCTGCTACACTAACATTTAAGATCCTCTTTTACTTAATGTATTCTTCTTCTTCTTATATTGCAGTTCATTTTGAGCTTAAAATCCCATTCTTCGTATGCATACATCCACATAAACATCTGTTAGCTTCATGGGCTTGTTGTCATGGATGAACAAAAAAGAAAAAAAAGGCAGAATAAAACGAAACAGAAATTGACATGGATGAAAAAAATGAAAGAACAAAAAGAAAAAAAAAACAGAATAAAACAAAACAGAAATCGACATGGATGCAAAAATGACATGGATTAAACAAATCTTTGATGCTATTAGTTAGTTTATTTAACTTAATTGTTCAGAAATATTCCTTGGGACTATGCCAAATCTCACCTATTCCCTGCATTTCATTCGGGTAACTCCCATTTTTTTTTCAATCACCTAATTCCCTATAGTTCAGCAAGTGTAGGCACTTCCTTAAGAAAATGTTCCCTATGATTATTTGATAGTACCATCAAATGCAAGAACAAAAAGAAAACATGTTGAACAAAACAGAACAAAAAAGGTGCCTTTTCAATCCCTTTTGAGCTTAAAATCAGTTTTTCTTAATACTTACATCCACATTAACAGGGCTTATATTCATTTAAGTGAATGTTTGATCGTATAGTTCAACATAGATGGATGTTTATATCTCAATGAATATAAGCCCTGTTAATGTGGATGTTTAAATGAGTACACTGAGATATACCTCTGTTTTTTTATGGAAGGAGCAATGAGATATAGTTCTGTAATCCAATTAAAATAATAAAGTTTATTTTCTATAACTTTAAGATCTCTAGTACTGTTTGTTTTTAATCTTATAGCCCAAGAAGAGCAGTTTGATTTTAGAGGACATCCAATATAATAATATAAGGTTTGAACATCAAATGGTAGAAGATGTAAGGGAACAAACAATATTAATTATAACCAATTAAGAAGTATTTTTTTATTAGCTACTGATTATATTTTTTATATAATAACTTTGAATTTTTAGTGATTTTAAGATAGCAAAACAGAGTCTAGACTAAGTTAAAGAAGTAGGTTTAAATTACGTTTTTAATTAGATTGCAATCAGTTTCAGAGCAGACCAGGATCATAAGAGGTTGGATGAACGCAATTACATTGATTCTCTGAAAGTAATAAAATGACTCTAAAACTGTAGACAAAAAACTAAACCTATCAATCTGTATTGGTATTAGCATATGAAAATCTTATTTTACGGAACATGGAACTCCCTGCTATAGTAACCTTTAGAAACTCAGAAAAGATCACTATGCACAATAAAAGTAATATAGGATAAGCTCAAAATGTGTTTCGAAAAGTTTAAAATAAACTTTGAGAATGACTGCTATGAGTGTAGATAATATTGTAAGAAACTGAGAATAAACTAAATATAGAAACAACCAACAACCATCAAGAAGATGTGATGCCTGGTGCATAACCTTTTCATATTTTTATTAATAAAAAATAAAGATCCTTGCTTTGTGTTTTTCTCTATGATAGTGCGAGTGCTTAGATGTAATTCTAGAAACTGATTTCGCTCATTTATGGAATATTATTTACTTACATGTAGTAAGTCAAATTTTTAAGTGTTTGGGTAAATCTCAAGTTTCACTTATAACTATAAGTACTCACCCGAATCAGTTTTTTTGCAAGCTAATGTGAAGGTAAATTCCCTGAGTAACATTTATGCTTTAGAGTTTATCTTGCAGAGAAACAAAGATGACAAACAAAACAAAACCAGTATGAGAGTGACTGCTATAAACTACTCCAAGCAACTCAAATTAAAGTATATGCCTACTTTATAGTCTATTATGTTGTTGTACTTTAGCTCAAAAAACTGATTTAGAACAATGAATGAAAAAGTTGATATATTATATCCAAAAAATGTCAAATTCAACAACATGGTAAGCACAACCAAGTAAAAGTGTAATACTAACTTAAATGGAATTGCTTCAATATAATGGCGAAACTGAAAAAACAAAAAGTAAACACAGAAACACAACATTTAGTTATGGTTTGTCATGAAAAAATATGCTTTTGAATCTAATACATAAAAAAGGGAAATACAGATGTTTGAAGGTAGTAGTTAGATTTTTTAATTTCATTGTTCAAAGGTGGCCTTGCTGTTCACATACCCAAAACTTACATGGAAGATAATAGACTTACAATTTGTAATAGCCCTATAAGTTCATCAAAAAACATACATCATTTTCCATGAAAATATATCATCTAAACTAAAAATAACTAACCTGATAAGCTGAATTACAAAAACAATATCTTTTTCCATATAAACATTTCATCGAACACCTTATATGCTTTATGTTATATAAATGTTACACTTCTTGCTATTAATGTTTTCAGGAAATATCATTTAAACCTTTCATCTAACCGAACACATGCAACATATAAACTGGATATATGATTCATATCCTAGCACACTTAATTTCAATATCATGTAAGAATCATACATTTTGAAGATGCAGAGTACAAAATAAATAAAATATTACTCCATATAAAGTTTCAGTGCTTACCAAAAACATGAGGGGAAGATCATACTCGGAAACAACCTTTTGAAGTACTCCATATAAGCCGCAAAGGGGTTTAGGGTTGAAAGTCTGGGGATCCGTTGAGGTTGTTGCGGAAACTTGATTTTTGGTGAGGGTTGTGTGTGCGTTGGAAAGGAGTGAAAGGTGGGGGAGGTGAGAATAATACGAAGATGGTTTTTCATTTTTTGGTGAAACATTTTTGCTGTTTTTCAAGGATTTTTTGATGAAGCGACGTGGCAGTACTGCAACGAAGGAGTGAAATCCGGTTAGATGAACATGTAGGTTTTTTGAGGATAAAATGGTCTTTAAAAGAGCTATCTCTTTTCTTATATATAAATAGATGAGAATAGCTTTCGGTTATAGTCTGGGCTTGATAAAAATGATACGGAATAATTGGAATAGAAGAATTTTGATTGATATGGTCATTTTTGGGATATTCTAAAATGAATTAAAAAGGGAATAAATGTACTGTTCAAGAAATCTTCAGCGTGAATGATTTTCATAAATTGGATTAAATTGAAAGGGGTTAAGTACTAGAATACCGACTGTTAATAGATGGACTAGTAACCTTTGGACCAAACCAAAATGATAGTAATACATTAACTTAAGGTTTCTAAATTAAAGTGGTGATTAATAAAAGTGGTTAATTAATAATTAATTGATAACCTAAATTCGACTAATAGTAAAAGGGGAGAATTTATAAATAGAATTAGTGACTAACTATATCATCTTAATAAAGAGGTGATTTTTTTAGAGACCGGATTAGAGAAGAAGAACTTGGAGCATCGGGAGTTAAGGTAAGTTTCACGTCAACCGAAATTAGTTCTTTTTCTTCGTGATTTCCTTCAAATATTTTTGTGTGCATATTTGAGAATTGAATTTATGTGTGCTGAATTTGAGTGAATATTATTATATGAAAGGATTGTATTTGAGATATTAGTTGATATATTGGTTTGTTAATATGAGTTATTACGATTTTGGAAGATTTTGTCACTACAAGAAAAAGCACGATTTGCAATGGAAGAGTGCAACGAACTAAATCGTGTTGCAAAAGTGCAATGAAAATTGCAACGGAATGTTAAAATATTGCAATATTGCAACCGCTACTACTACGAAAAAAAATGTCATTGCAAAATCAACGGAAATTTGGAGGGAAAATAAATTACAACAAATTTTGCAATGGCTAGTTATTTCCGTTGCAAAAATTGCAACTAAAATAGCAATAGACTATTATTTAGTTGCATAGTTCCAAATTTGCAACAAAATTGCAATACAAATATCACCTATTGCAAATATTTATTTGCAACGATGATGCCTAGCAACAACAATTTGCAAGAGAGCTCTTTCCGTTGCAACTTTAAAAAATTAATGGAATTATCTACCATTTTTTAATTTATGGGGAAAAAAAATCATAAACAAAATATTGTTTATCCCATCGACTCAAGTATTAATTTTGGATCGTCAATTGGGCGCTTAATATTTAAAAAAAAAATCTTACTTCCCGCCGAAATAAACGTAGGGCCGCCTCCTTCCTTCTACGGAGTAACTCTTATCCCGTCTCTGAATCCTAAATCCCTAATTACTCATCCCGTCTATAACTCTTCTCCTACCCATTCAATTCCACGAAGCCTCCAGGCCGCCAACCGCCGTCCGTCGCCAAGCCTAGCCGCCATCGCCACCGCAACATTGGAGCCGCCAGACGCCACCGCAACACTGTAGCAGTCCAGCACCACACCTCCGCACATCCAGCACCGCGACCTCCACTGGACCCCGACCCCTAATTTGGCGATTTCAGATTGTGTTGGTCCGGCCGGCAGCCGCCGCTCCAATTATCCGAAACCTCTCAAGTCCAACTCCGAATCCCCTATTCAGGTTATGAGGTATGAACACAGTTTTGCAAATTCTTCCAATCTTCCGGCAATTACTCAATTTTGCAAATTCATGAGACTATGAGCAATTCTTTACTTTATTAATTTCCCCGTCTTATTTGCTCCGTATTTAATAGACTGCTAGATTGTGGGGTAGTCCATTAGAATATTAGATTGTGGGGTAGTCCAATTTGGGGTAGTCCATTAGAATATTAGATTGTGGTGTTGCCCAACTTTATTAACTAGTGTTGTCTAGGTGTTTGTATTATTATCTAATATACTTCTATACTTTTTAAAATATGTTAAATATGTAGGTATTGTTATTTGTCATGACGGGTAAGCGAAAATTTGACATCTTTACCAGTTTTGCACTCCAAAAGGCAAGTAGAATTGGGTATTAAAAACATAAAAAGTACACTTTTTTGCATTCTATGTATGTTACATTTAAAACTATATTGTTTTAAAATTTGCAATATATGTTGTTTAAGCATTTATTATATCTTATTTATCATTGTCTTTTATGACTGTGATATATGTTTATGGAAATTTTTGTGAAGCTTTTCCGCTTGGGGCATCCAAATCGCTGGAGCTGGGCCTGACCTCCAGCACCTTCACTGCACCTGTACGCACGCTAACGGCAGTCAGACAACGCTCGTCAGGGCAGCTCACGTCCTCAGCCTCACAGGTATGTTTATGAGGTTTATCTTAGGCTTGGTTCATCAACGCAGAACACTAATTTAAATTATATATCACTTAAATCATTGAGTGATAGAGAGCTCTTTGAATCAGCTTGCATCGTTGATTCAAAGTATCAGCTTGTTGAGTGATAGAGAGAACTTTCAATCAGCCTGAATCGTTGAATCAGCCTGCATCCATTCTCAAATTTCGAGTTAATTCAAGATAAATTACTAAACTAGATTCGAGTTAATCTACTAAACTATTTTTCGTGTGCTGTAATAACACTGGAACTCTTTTTGCTAAAGGAGCCGAATCTGAAGAGAATGATTTTAGCTTGTTCATATAAATTTTTCTTCATTTATTAATAAATGTACATATAACAATTACATTATTCAGCAGATTGAGCCTTTAAGCCACAAGATCATCAATAAATTCAGCGGATCTAGTGTTATCAAACAAGATCCAAGTGTTTTTCCTTAAGTAATCATCGTTCCCAGGAAAAAACTCATTCTCATCTCAGCTCATTATTCATTCCTAAGAAAGTTCCTACAGGAAGGACACTGGGGTAAACACTGTCACTGTGCCTTTTAAAATAAAACTCAGTGTTGACTAAAAAATTTACTTGGCTGGCACTGTAAATTTCATGTCATCAGCCCAGATCATCTAACATGGAATAACAAACACATGTCAGTATCACAATGTCAGCATATGAAGCTGAAGTAAATTAAGCATTTACGGTTTGTCTATTTGTGCCCTTCAACATTTGCACTATAAATTCCAATTTAATTTTGAAAACAATTATAATCATATATTGGATTTGAATATTTGATTTAGGCATTTTAAATTTTTAGGAGAATTTAGTCCGTTGAAACTATGCATTCTTTAAATGATTTTAATTAAGTTAAAGGCACTCTTTGTTTGCCAACTTTTACGCGTGCAGTCTCTGAAAAATACGAGGGCAGCGTGATAGGAAGTCATTTAGGGGGTTGGTAAATTTCTCTTTTACTAGTTTGAGGTATAATTTAACATTTAGAGCCATTCCATTGCATTGTAGGTTAGGCTAAACATTTAGAGTGACAATTCACAATTAATTAGGAACCTTTTCTTACTTGTTTATTTTGCTAATAACTTATGGCTGAATATTATTTTTAACACACCTTTTTCGTATACAAATTGTGTAATACATATTGACAGCTTGAGGAGCAAAGTGAACCTAAAGTCCATTATGAGCTCAATCAAAGAATAAAGAGTACATAACGGTATGTGCTTTCTACGGGGGCACCCTGATGCTTACTATTTTTATGGGGGCACCCTGATGCTTACTATTTTTATGGGGGCACCCTCATGCTTACAATTTTTATGGGGGCACCGTGATGCTTACTATTTTTATGGGAGCACCCTGATGCTTACTATTTTTATGGGGCACCCAGATGCTTAGATGTTGTGATGGGGGCACCCTGATGCTTAGTTTTTGTGATGGGGGCACCCTAATACAGATTACTTCCTTCAGAAGAATGTTCCCGAAAGACTTCTCTTTTCAAGGAAATGGTTGATCCTTATGGTTACTCATGGGCTAACTTAAGTGAAGATATAATAAAGTTTTATTGGGATGAGTTTAAGGTACTTTTTTAATCATATATCTTATATTCTATATTTTTAACTATGAACAATCAAGAAAAAATAATTGGCACCGAACAATTATTATATTTTAGTCGACTTACATTAAATTTACAATGAACTGTAGAAGCATTGCTGTTGGAATCCTATAATAGAATCTTCAATAAAGGCAGCGTGGACTTCAAAAGCTAAACAAAGATATTCCAATTATCTCAGTAATATGAGAACAGGAAGGTGTGAGAGGAATTCATCAATTACTCAAGAAGTTTGGGACAGTTGGATGAGTATGTGGAGTAGTGAAGAATATCAGAAGAAATCTAACCAAAGTAAAAAAAAATAGGCGTCGAGGTGAATTAGAGAAGCCTGCCATCTCTACTCATACTAGTGGCGCCATATCTCATGCCAAAGTTGTCAGTGAAATTGTAAGTTTATTTAAACTATATGTCACACTGGTTATTAATTATCTCTATCGAAACATGTCTTAATTTATCTCTAGAATATGTGATGTGAATATATTTTATTTATTCAACATGTCCAATATTGTGATTCATATGATATTTAGTGTTTGATTATTCTAACATTGTATGTTAATAATCATTATTATGTAGGAAAAGAACTCCCAAACTACAATGACATGTTATCAGTTTTTGTGTATACACATACAAAGAATCACGATTGAGAGACTTTTATAAATGATCAGGCTAAAGAAGTGAATGTAAGTATTCTTTAAATTTTATATTTTTTTAAAATAATTTGCTCTTATATTAATTCAATAAAATATTATAGGAGGAATTTGTTTCACGTCGTGAGGAGCTAATTGATATTGGTGAGGAAGTGGATGATGATGAACTGTTCTATGATGTTGTTGGTGGACCTGACTCAAAGAATAGATTGTTTGGAGTTAGCTCATATGGTACACAAAATATTCATAGTAAAGCTTCAGAATACTCTTCTGAAATGGTCACTTCATCATCACAATCTAGTAGTGCTGAAATTAATAATTTGAAAGTTGAGGTGGAACGCTTGCAAAAAACTGTGGAACAATAGAAGGAATTTCAACAAGCAGAACAAAAGCAACAGAAAATGGATGATGTCATATGTGCTTTACAAGAA